GATCGTCTAGCTCTCTTGTACAGCAGTTTCAAATTAGTTTAGTTAGTGAAATTTTTATGCTGCGCAGGAGTGTGGCGCCACTAGTCCACAGCTCTGAGGAACTAATCTGTGCGACTGATCAATTGGTGCTGTCTCGGATAAGAAAACAAGAGTGGAGTGAGCATTGGGTTTGAATGCTTGGTTAAGTGCAGGACCTAACCAAGATCTTTGACCTGCCGTGAACATTAGAATGTCCGTTGTTCTTTTATCCAAATAGGTAGCCAAAATAAATAACCAAAACCGACGCATGAAAATGCATGGTTCACGTTTGTAAAACGGAAACTCCACCAGAACGCTAATTACCATTCAGTCAATTTGTACTCGAGGATTTGAATGCTCATAAAGCCTCAATAGACGATTGTTTCGTTTAGTATCGTATTGTATTGTTCACCATTCCAAATCCAAGAGCTTTGGTAGCCGTGAAAGAACAACATATCCTCATGACTATAGGGGTGCTTCTATTTGTTGTTCGTCAGACAGTGGTGCGTAATAAAAAAGGTGTCTAAACTGGATAGCCAAACTATCAAAAAAACTAATCTAGGCAAGTCATATTACTGGAACTGTTATCAGTTTGACTTACGCAAAGGCAAAATCTCCCACAGGTGAAATTGCCATGAAAAGCATTCCTAGAAGAAACTCCGTATTCTCGACGATGTTGGCTGTTTCGTACCGATTCATGCTTGGGAAATCTAGCCTCTTAGAACAAATAATATAATACGACTAAGCTATCTGATGACTGGTATCAATGCCGAATTCTAATCCCAACGAAGTTAATCTGAGGTGCCAAAGCATTGCTAGTTTACTAAACTATTTTTTGCCTTTAGTTAGGGTGGTCTAATCCCATTCAACAACGTCCAATCAATTAGTTGTCTAAACATGCGATCGTTTAAATAATTGTGGTTAGGACTTCTGGTTTGGGAGTAGGGCAACTTATAGTACGTTGAAAGTGGACATAAAAATACTGTAGATGAACGGGGCAAAGTTAAGTGAACAATACCCACAACTAAGAAATTATCCAGTAGTGGTGAACACGAATGTCAATCCAAATACTAGGACAGTCTTGTGTCCACCCAAACTCAAAAGCTAAACAGAACGATAATTTTCAGTAGAATATCGTGCAACATAAACTCTTCGTAACAGGTTGGTGATTACTCTATGGAATCAACCTACTAGAAACAGTCTTTTATTCTTAAATGAATGCATCTTATAAACTACAGCACGAATAAATATAAAACTGACACCCATATTAGTAAATAAAAACAAACGGGTAAGCATGCAGCCCTATGTTAATGTTAAAGCTACCCTGAAATGTACTCATGGAGGGGACCGATCAAATTTTCAGCTTGTATCAATCCCCTGGCACATAAAGTCAAGCAACAATCGCAGTGATCCCTCGCCTATAAGTGACATTCGGATCAGTTGATTATGAAGCTCTTCGCATAGGAATACTGCCGAGGTTATTTGCCTTAGATCAGTTTTTACAACCATTAACCATGCGCTTTCGTGCGCCAGTTTTAATTGCCGCCTATGGTCGCCCATTTGGATAAAACAGCAGGATGAAAATCGGAGGGTTGAAATCAAATTCAAGCAGAAGATGGAGAATCCTTATAGAGTAGTGTTAGGAG